AGTCAAGGTGAACAGTCCGGAGTGTGGGAACCCTTTGTGAAAGTTAAATTAATCTATTTGAAATTATAAAATGCTATAGGAAGGGAGGGAAACAGGTCTACGACGTAGGAAGTGGTGAAGGAAATAGTCGAGGCGAGCATTCCGGAGTGTACTAACCCTTTGTGATAATTAGAATAATGTACAGTATCTGCAATTCTAAAAATGCTATGGAAAGGGAGGGAAACAGGTCCACGACGTAGGAAGTGGTGAAGGGAGTAGTCGAGGTGAGGAGTCCGGAGTGTGGGAACCCTTTGTGACAGTTAGATTAATGTATCTGCAATAATAAATGCTATGAGAAGAGAGGGAAACAGGAAATACGTTACGTATATTACCAATGACTTTGGTTAATTAATGGACGAGAAGTTAGGATTGTTGTTGACTGAGATATGGTTTTTTTTAAGAGGTTGGTCCAGCCTCTTTTAACCTCGCCCGTGCGTGGATCGTTTACAGCAAAGCAATTGGTGAGCCGGTACAGTACAAAGGTGAACTGTGCTGATAAAATTTAGTGGCAGTGACCAGGATCCGAACTCACGGCATCGCTGCCTTGGGCCTGAAGTTCGTGTGACGCTACCGACTTGAGTCACCGACTCACCATTATTTGCCCTGACTCATGGGTTGATTTGCCCATTGCCCATACAAATAACATTATTGTGTACACCAGTGACACCGGTAAGTGTGCTAGGTGTGGGTAAACTCTTTCATTATTGCGCTCATGTTCACTCATCCTGTTACACGCAGAATAAGCGTACTACTAGTGGTAAATAACAACGAAACCAAGGTCATCTGGCTGAAGACGTTAGAGTGTTTACAAAAAACATAGTATGTGAAGAGTTTCTTATTTAACATTTTAAAAGTAAGATGAACATTTTAACTGGTCTGTCAGTCAGTATTCTAAGCCTACTCTGTTAAAACCTTTATTAAAACAGTATTGAGCTTAAGATTTTTATTTATGGTTAATTAAAAGTTAAGCGCTTAAAAGTTCTTCCTTTTTTCGTATTGATAAGTTAAAAGGTAATTAAAAATTTTTAATGATTTTTAAATACTGTATAGTTAATATTATTAACTGGAAACAACTAGTTTTATTAAAATTTGGTAACGTTCTGACTTTTTGTTTACAATATACGAATTATCAAAGTCACGAGATCGTTTTTGAAACTCTTAAAACAGCGCTCCTTTTTATTCTGACTGTCATATTGATTTTTATAAAAGAGTTAACAATATTAGTTTTTAGATTAATACAAAGAATAAAACTATGAACATTTAAATGTACTCCTTGTTTTCTAAGTTTAGGAACTATTCTGTACACCTCCAAACTTGAATATCTAAACTTTATTAAAAGTGAGATTAGAGGCAGAATCCGCATGGTGCGGCGCGGCAGGAAGCCCCTATCGTACAATATAAGTTACATTACAACCAAACTACATCAGCTAAAAATGTAATTAAAAAATCTGCGTCGACTTCTGTATCGAACATCAGTAGTATAAACTATAGTACCGTAAACACTGAACCGTTTACACAGAATGAATTATAGCACTATAGGTATTACTTCAGTGGTCATTCCCAATAGGGTGGTTTGGTTAGTGAAGGGAGGTGAAAAATGTATGCCGTCACGTAGCGGTGAGGGTGGTGACTCACGGTCGCAGGTAGAGACTCGTAGCGAAGTTGGTAGCGATTGTCAGTGGTGGCGATTAACAGGTATTCAGCTACAGTTGCCTAAACGCTAGTTATTTGGTCAGGGGTTAGAATTCCAGTTTTCATTGCTAATCTAATTTATCACACTCAGTCAATTTCCAATAGACTTCCAAATCTGCGGGGGTAAAATTCCAGGGGGATAAAATTCCAGCGACCCATTTTAATAACCAGACCTAGTGTCTATAACATTATTATTTAATTTACACTGTGCTGGTGCTGGAGTAGTGTGTATAATACCTGGTGTATACCTATAACAGAAGAATACCAATATCTAAAGTTATATATTTATTACAGTTATGTTTGCAGTTAATAAAACACTTCATCCTTTAAAGGAAGTTAAATATAAAATTACTAACCTCTTAAAAAAAAGTTACTTTTTTGAAAGGATATAGTAAGATTTCAAAAACAAATCTAATTGTTTTCTTTCCTTTATCCATAAGGCACTGCTTAATGAGAACGATAAATTTATTTTCCCTGAGGCACTGTTCTAACGCAATGGGCATACCATCAATAAATACAATTAAATCACTTAAAGGGGAGGAAAACCATGCAAACACGACAAGGAAAACCATTTGTTGAGGCAGCTCAAGAATCTGCCTCTTATAAATGTAATATAAAATTTGAAGTTTGAATCTCAAAGTATCCTGTGAGATTTCATGCACCTCGTTATTCAACGAACAGCATTGGTCGTTTCCACACATCAGGTTCTTACATCCATGATTTCCCCCAGAAATAGTATCTATTTACAGACTGATATTATGGACTTTAACACGTTCGCTGCTACGGACGTTCCGGAACGTCAGCCGGGCCACGGCGCCAGGAGCTAAGAACGTTCCAGAACGTCACCGTTCATTGTTGTTTAACGTTGCTATGGATAAGCCAGCACGTCACAAGCGTTCTATATTTCTTTGCAGCTCGTGGGGACGTACTTTTCTGACAATAAAAAATATAGTTTCCCAAATCACCACCAGGGTTGTTTGGAACAGGGCTTTGTTTTACCTCTTTCCTGCTAGATAGCGACACTACTTTACCGACTGTAACCTGGGTAGTGCTGCTATCTATCAGAATCACTTATTACTAAATCCAATGCCAGTATTATTGCAGAACATTGCCATCCAGTATAACTACTGTTGTTTTTACTGTAATTCAGTGTATCGGTGGCAATGTAACGCAGCGGCCGAGCGTTAGTTCAGCAACTGGCGCCGTCCCGGCATCTAGCGCTCAGCAGCGAACGTGTTAAAATGGCGTTTAATAAAGACAAGCAGGCGTTTGTTGGACGCGCCCTGCCGTCTACAATGCCACACGTGTCTTTCTATATGTTGTGTTAGAGGCAAATGTGTTAACGCAATAAAAAGGTTTAAATTACCTCCCTGTATCCGTCAAGTGATCCTAGATTGTAGTTAGTTGACTATAGCTGTTTCGTGTTCAGATCAAACACATCTTCAAGTCAAATGTTAATTTGATTTATTCCATGGAATGGTCGTCAAGAGGTTTAAAGTTCACAAATAACACTTGCAAGTAGGCCTTCATTTCCATTTCGTTTTGTCATGAGAGCCGAAGCCCCCTGACTGCATACCCGGTACCTATCCTTTAGGACATACCCGGGCCCCATGATGTAGGCCGAAGCTTACGCATCAACCTTTAGCACATCATGGGCGGATGACTTAAGGTCATCAGGCTCGCCGGCTGCCGAAGCAGACCCTTCGGAAGGAGGGTTGCCCCTCAATCCTAACCAGGGATTCCGGCTGCTTGTTTAAGCGTCACTCCACCTGGGTTCCACTAGGTCGAGACCTAGAGGTCCATGGTAGAGCGCCCCGACGCATTTAGTGCAAGCAACACTCGGGACCTATCTAATCCCTGACAGGCAGAACCCGCCATCTATAGCCAGGAGGAAGGGGACCGTCAGCACGCTGACGGGGGGAACCCCAACCTCCCATTTACACCGCTGCCCGATCGAGGCCTTACCCATTGCTGGGAAACCAGAGATAACCAGAGCGATAGATCCCCAGATACCCCTGGCGGGCTCGGACCCAGCACCCGATCTACTTCGTTTGCCCGTCAGACCCAACATCACTGCCAGGCCATCAGGGTTTCCCAAAAGGAGGCAGGTATAGAAGTGGGACCCACCCGGATGAACCTATCCACCAGAGGTGGCGACACCCTTGACTCAATTGAGGTTCCGGGAAGAACCCCCCACACTCAAGATAACCATACCGTCCGTGCTCAGAGACAGGGATTGGTTTGCATAAGTACCTACAAACCGTTGCCCTCACACTGCGGAAAGTTACGTTGCCCTTGAGTGTCCCCGTGAGCTGCGGGTACTTGCCCGTTTTCACCTCCAGGAAAGGTTACTTCCAAAGTCGAGGATTTGCCCACTGAATGCTGGTCGCACACAACAAGCAGGCCAAAGCCCAAAGAACCACAGACACAGGTAGGTTAGAGATTATGATGTACTTCCATCTCTCCTAGAGCTAAACACCCCTCCATCCTGGATAAAGGAATGTCACTGGGACCCAATGCCCAGTCGTCCATGTCTGTGGCCAACTTGAAAATGCCGATACCAACACGGAGCATTTACCTCCCCTCTGGGGGCTAGGTATTTCACCTCCCAGGACGAGGCTACTTCCAAAGTCGAGGATATGCCTCACAAAATGTCAGTCGTACACGACAGGTAGGACTCAGTCACAACCGCAAGCTACAGGCAGGTGAAAGATCTATGAACTTAATCAACACTAGCAGAGCTGAACACCCCACCACCCTGAATGGAGGGAATGTCACTGGGTACTCTCACTTTGGGTAAACCCAAAGAGGCTGGCTTGTCCAGTCGTCCATAGCTTGTGGTCTACCTGAAGTGCCGGTTCCAACACCGGGCAATTACCTCCCCTCTGGGAGCTTGCAAGTAGGCCTACACGAAAAATTAAACATTAGGCTAATTGGACGAAACACTAATACGAAAAAACGCGTAATTTAAAAAAGACATGACACGTGCGGCGCCGGTGGAAGGTAGGCCATGGACTGATATGTTGGTTTACTAGCACGACCGCCCCAAAGCGAACATATCAGAGTACATGTCAGGAATCAGGATATATTCAGGATATATATCAGTTTAAATTAGTTTTCGATTGCAATATTTTCTAAACAACTAGCCTAAGTTTTATGTTTAGATTTAAAACCAGGAAAATTAGGTAGGTACCGTACTAGGAAAATAAAACTAAGTAAGTTTGTTGTAATGACACGACATTACAAGACAAGATAAGTTAAGACATTACCAGCTTTCTTTTCACAATTCTTCCCGTAGTATTCCTTCGTACAAAAGCAGGTGTATGAATAATACGTCTTGACACATGTCCCCAGGTTTTGGCACGGCGAACTCTTGCAGTGGTCTTTTATGACACATTTAATGTCGGCTGATTCAGTAATTCCTTTTCTTGCTCTGATTTTTCTTGGTTCAATCGCGTGCAAACTATGAAAGTGGCATTTGTACACCTCACCTTTTGCACCCCACAATTTCGTTGAGAAGCTTCCATAAGTGTAATGTTCCATAGGACTAGCGCAAAATGCACGCACAACCCATTGGACAAAAGATACAGCTAGGCGAGACAACGGGTTTCATGTAATTTATTTTACACCTCATTATGTGGAAACGATCTTTGTATGTATGAAGGTTGTAGCATTCGTAGTTTGTGTCGTAGAAGTACTTTGATACGTCGTACTTCACTTTGTCTTTGAATTTGAAACCGTTGGTCCGCAACACTTTGATGAACAATATTTGGCAAAGGCATAGTATAACAACAGTGCGAGCTGCAGACATTGTACAAACTTGTAAACCACAATAATAGGCCACTGTAGTAACGAACAAAATGAAATTATTTCATAATGGTTTGTTTAAGTGTTGAACACAGTAAAAATCAAAACATTTTGATTCCAGAAAAACAACACAGATAAACAACAATAAACACCTGTATTTAAAAACAAAATCCAGTGGATAAGTGATTAGTTTTATGTATTAATGGTCAATGATTTTATCTTGACTATTGGATACTGAAGTAGACATCCCATCATATGGACCAGCTGTCGCCAATGTTTTACCTAGTTCATGTACGTGACACAAAGGCACTAGTGTCGATGAAACTTTGTTTCCATTATTTTAGGGTTAATTTCTTGATTTGTGCTTTACTGTTTGGTTATATAACTAGGGGACAAGTTATTGTTTATGATTAGATCGTATTATTTGGTTAAACGAGGTTTTAAATGGCTGTAATAACGGGAAACAAATTGTAAACAAAACACGACCTCTACATAAACCGTACATGAACTAACAATAAAATTGTCTTCAGCTGTTCCATAAGGATGAGAAATATTTCATTCTTTTTGTCTATGAATCTACTAAGGGAAAGGGAGTATGTTTTATGTTTTATCTATGCTATTACCATACTAAATAAGAACGTAGTTGTGTGAGCCAGTCACAGAATGCGCTAGTGTCTAAAAGTCTATTTTTTTTTTTTTTTTTTTTAAAGAGGTTGGCGGCCTCTTTTAACCTTGCATTTGCCCGTCCACATAGACTACAGATCTGTGCGTGGAACGTATCCAGCAAAGCAAGGGGTGAGCCGGTACAGTACAAAGGTGAACTGTACTGATAAAAGTTAGTGGCAGTGACCAGGATCCGAACCCACGACACTACTGCCTTGGGCCCAAAGTCCGCGACGCTACCGACTGAGCCACCGACTCACCAAATGTCCTTATGTCCATTACCAAATGTCTATTATGTCCTTAATTTTTGTTGCTGACCAACCGGTGGGTCATAACAGTTGCCATAGCACACCATAAATTTTACCCCCTAAATCCCTAAGTTTGACTTGGTAAACAAGTTTGTGTACTCGACAGAATTTAGTAATTTAGATCAGCGCAATCTTTAAGTGGCTCAAATCAACTACGACAATTTTGATAAAAAAACCTGAATGGGTTTTATCTTGACTTCAATTAAAACAAATTCTCATAGTTAAGAATATAACGAAATTAAGTTGAGAACATTTCTACCGCTCATATATACCCGTGGACATTTAAGGAACCCGTGGTATTAGGCTCTTTCACAATGTTAACAAGAAAAATAAAGTAGTTTAGTTAAACTTACCGTACCTAATAGTTTAATATAATTTATGTCACCACGACTGAATCACAACTCTCGGCATTATGTCTTGAATAAAACGTGATGGCATTATGGAACTCAAACATAGAATACACATTGACTATATATATTGCGACCTAATCATCCCATTCCAGCATTTTGAAGATTTTTATTTCTGAAGCTTGTGTAATGTCATGCGCGTTTCATCACCACATTTGAGTGAGTCGACTAAAATCTTCTCTTACATTCCGGGTAGATTGTATGACTTGTGGTTCACTATTCGGTTTTAATACTAGAAATGCAATAGTTACCTAATCCATATATAAATCCCAATTAAAGTACCCATGAACTTTTGAGAAAACTAAAAGTCACACCCCCATAAACCATATACTTAAAATGTTCGTGATGACGAGAAGCCTTGTGCAAAACTATCCATTATTTCATAAATTATTTAAGGTCGTAATTATTTTCTAAAGGGAACTTTAACTCTAGTTGAGACAAATGTAATTCCGAAGTTGAATCAAGTTGCAGCTTCTTCCAACATTTCTTTGCCTGATTATACTGATTAAGTTTCTGTTCCAACTATAATAGAGCCTCATCAGCTGGAAAAAGCAATCATGTCCTTCAACAATCAGTTTTCAACCGGTTATAATGATATTCTTATAACAATCATAAAACATGCCAGATCATATCCGTTACTACCGTTGTGTCATGCAATAAATTCATCTTTTATATCAGGTATTTTTCCGGACAAGTTGAAAATTTCTAAAGGAAAACCTCTATTTCAGGCAGATGATTGTAAAGAAGTTTCAAATTATCGCCCACTGTCATTACTTCTTGTATTTTCCCAAATTTATGAACGAGTTATGGCTATTCAGTTAACAGATTTTTTAGAGGTAACAAACTGTTAGACAAAGAGTAGCATGGTTTTAGGGCCGGGAAATCAGTAATAACTGCTAGCATTGATTTTATTGAGTCAGCTTTAAATTCTTTGGATAAGGGTTATAAAACAATTGGTATTTTTATGGATTTTAGTCAAGCATTTGACAGCGTTACTCGTAGTCCTTCAAAAACTGGGGATAAAAAATAGGGATTTTTCATGGTTTGACTCATATTTAAAAAAGCAGAAAACAGTTTGTTGAAATTAAACATCTTAATCATTTCAATCAATGAATACACTAATTCAATTATGAAAGATATCAAATTCGGAGTCCCTCAAGGCTCCATTCTAGGCCCATTACTTTTTCTATGCTATCTTAAGGGTTTGCCTAGCATCACACCTTTTGATAATATCACAATGTATGCAGATGATATAAATTTGCTGATATCACGTAAAACTTTTGATAAAATCGAAGTTACCGCTTTTAACCAGATTTCAACCTTAGAAAAGGCTCTTTACGAAAAATGCTTGCTACCGAATCCTAATAAAACTAAATTTATCACTTTTACAGCTTATTTTGCTCTAGAATTAGACCTGCACCTAAATTGACAATGTTTCTTAATGATCACGAGTTGGAAGAGGTGGACGATTCTAAATTTTTGGGTCTAATAATAGACAAAAACTTAAATTGGAATAATCATATTTTATCAATTTCTAAAAAGTTAGCTTCTGGTTTATTTGCATTAAGGAATGTTTCTAAATTTAGCAGCTTGGTTACAATGACAACCCTTTATCATGCCCTATAGTACAGTCTCATCGCTTTTGGTATTGTTTTATATGGTAATACGTCAAAAGAAAATTTAGATAAACTTCTTATTTTTTTAAAACAAGCAATAAGAATAATTTTAAAGCTAAATTGGGATGATTCTGTTAAACAACTATTTACCGAATTAGGATTTATGACTGTATATAGTCTATACATTTTTGAACTTATTTTGTTTATAGAAAAGAATTCTCATAGAATAGAAACGTTAGGGCAAAACCATAGTTATAATACTAGAAACAATAGAGTATTTGCTTATACAAGTCACAATCTTAAATTATATGAAAAGAAACCTTCCTATGCAGGTATTAGATTCTATAATGCTCTTTTGGTAGATTTGAAATCCACAGAAGATTTTAGTGTTTTTAAGAAAAAACTTAAAAGATTAATGCTTTCCAATTCGTTGTACTCTCTAGATGAGTTTTTTTTATTAATGTAATGTCATAAACTTACCTCTAGGTCTAATTTCATGTACATAGAAGTTTTTATTAACTTATAATATTTTGTATATCGTAGTAAGTTAGTTACAATTTAAAATTGACGCCATTCTAAACGCCATTAAAAAAAAACCAAATAATTTTGTATATCAAAGGGTTATTATCCACCTAATAGTTACGGAGAAAATTCCAAAAAAATTTAAATTTAAAATCGCCATGTTATTCTTATGGAGAACAAGTAAACTGTTGTAGTTTGCTTGTTTATGAACATATTTTGATCAAATTTGGAAAATGTTTTTATTTCTAACTATGAACATTTTACAAAAAAACAGTTTTACCCTCCCTGATGCAGCAAACCTAGGTACTTGTTAAACCAATTCTAACTAGGAAATGAATGTTATATTTTTAAGTAGGTAACTTAGATGTACATTTTAGTGTAAATCCAATCAGGCAAATGGAAATTCGCTTAGTCCGCAGGTTTGCTGCGGCGGGGGTATTTTTTTACAGCATTTATTTCTAGTTCACTGATGACATTATTCACAGAAGTGTTAACAAAATTAACAAGAAAATAACAAATAAGAACATCGTGGGTTCGCCCAGACCTAAAGACACCCTGTAACATAATTAATTTAGATAATAGTTATTTGTGCAACTAGTGAGAAAAGTGAGCAATTGACTCACTCGAGAGAAATCCTTACTCACGAGCCGTAGGCGAGTGAGGAATGGTTTCTCGAGTGAGGCAATTGTACTTTGAACTCGAGTTGCACATTATACTTTTCCTACAGTTACCATAAAACAAATAAATTTGTGAAGAAACATAACCTATTTTTACACAAAAGTGAACTTTTAATATAACATTTAATGTGAAGTGACAAATACAACAGTACAACAGCTGACCAGCTGATTTACAGCCAGTGCTGCCAACGTATTTCGCGCGCATACGACGTTGCCTGCAGGTTACGCGCTCACTATTTCGTGCCTTCACGTTGCAAATCTGGAGTGAGACAAAGTAATTAGAGTGAGACAATGTTAAAATTGTCTCACTGATGAGTGAATTGGCCACTTTGCTTTCTCAAATCAGTGAGAGAACATGTACATTGTTAGGTAACTGTAGGAAAAAATATTTAATCTTCTTTAGGTTTAATTCGTGAAATAGATCTTGAGGAAGCCTTCGACGTAGCCTTCTGTTCTCAGTTGCTTCGCCAAGATGAAAAGCTAGTGCACCAGGAACATTGTCTAAAGACTTAAGAAATTTAGAGGTGATCTTTTCTATAAAGG